AAGATCTTTCATACCAATGTACTGCTTTTATGTAATCACAAACTCTCTAATAAATTACCAGTCTACACTGAGACACAGCAATTGAGACATATATTCATCACTTTTTAAAGTAATCAACAGGGTGATGAAGAAACCACCAGAAAGACAAAAGTGACAGTTTTTAGCAAGGACAGAGAGGAGCAACCACTTCTGAGCAGTGTGGGTCCAGGTCTATCTGCAGAGCTCTCCAGAATAGTTCAGGGCAGCAAGGTCCAGCCAGAAGGTGTGGTTCCCCACTCCTTCCCCCTGGGGCTCTGGTTCCAAGAGCTCTCCAGACAGCACTAAGAGGGTTGGCTCTTTCTGTCTCCTGGCTTCCAACCACACAGCCCTCCTCGCCCCCACCTTGCATTGCCTCTGGCATCCATCAGTCCCTTCAATTAACAGATTCAACCCACCTGACAGAGGAAAACCAAGCTAGTAAGTTGGATCAGTCTGCAGAGGTATCCACGAATGGCAGAATGGATGCAAAAGAAGCATCAGGAGCTTGTGGCTGGGAACGGGGAGGGGAGGAAGCGAAGTGCATCCCCAGCAGGAACCTGCTGGATCACTTCATCACCTTTATGAAACAGAAACCTCAGGGTTTAATTTCAAAGTCAACAGAATTAGTCTCACCTGTCCCCCAAAATTCCATCTAGTCCCATACTTTGTGCCAAAATGAGTGCTTGGCTACATATCCAAGATACATCCGCAGGAAAAGAAAAAAAAGAGTTACTAAAATCTGAACCAATATCCTGACCTGGTTCATAGCCTGGCTGTGTGAGTGGTTTTGGTGACCCACAAGAGAGGGGAGGGGTGGTGAGGTGCTGTGGGAGGCAGCATTTCATCTTTGGTAGCAGCAGCAACATACACTAGCTCAAGCTCCATGAAACTGCTACCTCTGGTTGAGGTTCCTCAGTGGCCTGAGTCAATATAGCTGCCAGGTCCTGCAGCCAGTACTTCCCTCTTCCACCATCCACACAATCCCCATCCTGTTCCCAGTCATGCAGCTACAGGGCAAGTTGATTCAGCTGGCTGATGCAGCAGACACCTTTCCTCCTCTTTTCCCCTGCCACCCAGGATGTCTGAAGGCTGATCTGGCAGAAGACTCGTTGCCATGTGGTTTGCAGATCCAACTCAAGGGAAGGAAGAAAAGATGAGAGAAAGGGAGAGGACAGGCTGGCCACCTTGGCAATAACTCACTGTCAGACTGGCTTTTGCACAAAGACCACAACCCACCCCCCTCGCCAACCTAGTTTTTGGAGATCCCACCCTAGTTTTTCATTCCATCACAATCGCTGTAGGTCTACAATGCACACCAGATCAGCTCATTGAGAGAAAAGATTGTTTATAACCCAGATCACCCCAGTGGGCTGCCACAGGTCAGATGGAGCCTGCAGGGAAAGTCTGCAGCCAGGAACAGGAATCCCTATATTAGCACTAAAGACGACAACTGAGAAATGACAGTCCAGAACATTGCGACATGTTTGAGGCCACTGGAAAGGCTTATATTTGAATGAAGAAAGTCTGCCCTCTGAGAGAGAGAAGTGGATTACTTGAAAGAGTCAGTGAAATAAGACCTGTCAGCATTTTTTTAGTAAAATGGAACTGCAGATACACCAGTTTACAGTGTTTTCCCTCTTACAGTGTTTAGTATTAACAATAGGAGAGAAGTACAGTGCTTTGATACAGGACTACTGTAGAGGTACTGTAGAGGTATAGTATTTACCACGGGACATGAGCTCCTGAAAACAGCCCAGTAGATGCTGATCAGTAGATTCATCAGATCTGCTGGAGTAATCCTGGCTGAAGCCCAGAGGTTAGAAACCGGTGTCCAGTCTAAGAAGTTTAAAAGTTATGTGATGTCATCCTCCAAGTGGTAACCACGTAGGTCAAGGTCAGTTCTAACAGACCACAGCAGCAAAGATGTAGTTAGCTCTGTAATCAAGATAGCATTTCCTACCTTTAACTTAATATTGTGTTGAATACTTGGCTGTAACAGTTCAATTGACCTTAATCAATTACAGCTTTTGCACAAATTCTTCCCTGAAGGAATGTAAAAAAAATGAACAGAACAAAGCTCACTTTTCCTATTTCAGTCAAAAAAAAAAAAAAAATCAATTAATTACATGAGATATCCCATCATTCATGCTACAAAAAAGATATAGTATCGGTTTATTCAGAAAGAGATGAAGATAAATGCATGCATTAAGTAAAAATATTATGCTGAAAGAATGTATACATTATATGCAAAAGCATTCAAGAGTTCAGGAGCACTGAACCTGCACTGAATGCAAGTATAACAATAACTTCATGCCCTATGTGTGCACAACTACAACAGTATAGTGTCTTCCTTAACAATATTATGATCTGAACTGGCCTGATTATCCACAACACCCTTAAAGTTTTTTTGGTTATGTTTAACAGTATCCTGAGATATAATTTCCTCTTTGCCCTTCCACAGTACTCTGCAAATCCAAAGATTTGACTAACCTAGATCTTTCAGTCATCTTTTTACTTTCTAATTCAATTTCTAAAAAAAAAAAAGTATTAGTATAATACGAATACTTCACCCGATACAAGATGATTTAGGTGATGTGATTTTTTAAGTGGACTCGGACAAGGGCAAGATGGGCATAAAGAAGGCCAAAGACTACACAGGAGGTGAGAAAGAACCCCGCAAAATATACATGCACATATTTTACCACCATACGCAAAACAGTACTCTGATCTCAAGACAATAAGGACAAGGGAACAATAAACACCCAAGGAAAGAGCAAGACTCCCAAGAGACACACAGTTTATCACCTTGGTGACAGGAAGGGGGCAGTTTGTTTTAAGACCTTTTTTTTTTTAAAAACGCAGAAAGACCCATGAATGCTGAAAATATGAAAGTACTTCTATACTCCAACTTTGTCTCACCCTAATCTATCCATTATAGAGACACCAATGTAATTTATCTGGATCTTAATTCTAAACTTATTAGTCAATTCGCATATATGAAAAACAGACATTAGGTAGAAATCGGCTGAGTTACACATATGTACAGCTACTCTTAATAACTCAGATTGCTAAATAGAAACTTTAATTCTTATACGACAAAGTGTAATTTCACTAGCTGGGTCAAAATCGGAATCATAATTATACAATGACTCATCCTGCAAAGCACAAACCCATTCCAACTTCCAGTTAACTTCTAAGAAATTGAGCTGGTTTAACAACAGATGAAGTACAAAGAAAGCTGGATTTCTTGTCCCCAGCAGTGGACTATAAATTAACATGCTCTGTTGCATTAGAAACAGTACGATAATTAAAAGAACAGTGATCTGAAAAAGTACAGTTTAATGTCTATTTTGTCATGTATAACAGTGATACATCTTGTGAAACCTACCAGAAATACAGTTACTTACTCTCAAATCCTTTTAAGAATAGTATCATAAAATCAAAGTAGGAAAAACATAAGGCATACTAATTCAGAGATCAACTGTACCTGTTCCTGACCAAAAGTGCTACTAAGGGAGAAAGTAAAACAGGTGGCACAAAGTAACTTGCCAAAATTATAGGCCTTTGCTGAGAAGTGACAGGGAAACCCTACATGGTGCATAAGGACATGTCGGTGAAGAGTAACATTTTTGGTTTTAATTACTCCAGTTTTGAAAGGTACATAAAAACATTGTAACTTTACAGGCATGCATACCCCTTCCTCTGTTTGTGATGCCTAAAAGTCACATCTCATCCAGAGTAAAAATTCCACTTGCTACAGTTTCTGCCCTCCTGCCCTGCTCCTTGCCCACATCTCATGCAATGCACCCACAAAGTAAGGACATGGTATATGTAGCAAATGGTGAAGTATCATCAGAGGATGGCATCATGGAAAAAATCCAGAGAAGTATTTCCCGAACTTCAGCTCCTGAACACCTCCTCTGATCATCCCCCTTCTATTTATACCAGGAATCTGTCTACTCAAAACACCTCCGCAGACCTCAATCACAGCAGTTCCCATAAGGAAAAGATGGTCTCTGAAGTATGATTTAGCATATCACATCACAGCATAACATCGTACAGGAATGCTGCGACTCACTGAATATCATTTGAAGGGAAACTGCAGTAGCTACAGCTCAATTCCATCAGCATGTTGGAATTATCTGCAGGCAGTGCTGTCCAGCCAGCACCAGATAGGTACAATGTTGCTCCTTCTGAGAAAAGCGTTGCCAAACCAGATGTGCATTGCAGAAGGCCGCCTTACCCCTCTCCATTCAGTTACTACAATGTGTGTCTATCGTGCAGGCAGCAGATCACTGTCCCCGCTGCACTACTTTTCCTCTGCCTGGATTTATTTCTTTATTTAATGAAATACAGAAATGCTACGAAAACACCAGAAAGGACTTGTTCCAATGTTCTGCATGAAAAAAATCACTGCTTGGAAAGTTTGTAGTCCTTATGTTGAATCATAAAACAGATGGTGCTTAAGGAGCTATAGAATTGGCAAACTTCAGCTCCAATTCATGTGACTACGGAACAAAAGCAATCACAATCACAAGCAATCTCAGCTGCTCACAAACTCAAGTTTTCCATTTGCAAGGTCATATGATACAGATGTATCAAGACGTGCTAGGGTAAGCCGTTCATTGGGAGCTACCTGCCAACCTGGAGCACTGAAGACAGGGTTTGGTAGAGTTTTTTGGCAGTGTGCCTCCCTGTGCACCTCAGGCACATGGCTGCTCCTGAACATTTCCATGTCCCAGAGTATTTTATTCACTAGTCAGCAGTGCTTCAGACCTCTCTGAAATAGGAAGTGCGTGTTGATCATGATTCAGTCAGTACTTACAGCAGCTGGGGGATGATGTCTCTGTATTTTAAAACAGAATGCATCCTACTCTATGTTGTTTCACCTCGCAGGAAATACTTCACTTAAGGAAAATAAGGAGTGTTCAGAAGATACACTGTATGTTTAATAACTCTTGAACGATCAGTAGTATACTCACATGGGAAGTCATCCACAAACATGGGGTCTATGTTATGCAGCAGTTCCACTCTGGGGGACCGTCTTCCTTCACTAGGAGAGATTTCAAAAGGAAACATCAATTTCCTTCTACAGTATTTTAAGGCTTTTCGTCATGCTAATACAGAAGGACATTCATAACCATAAACTAATTGCTATCAACTTCAATGTGAGTGCTCTTTTCGAGCCTAATAGCAACAGCTTTTTCTCTGTATCAGTCTTCCCTGACTTCACTGGTGTCTACTGGGATTATTCACAAGTTTACAGAGTACAGAACTGGCTCTATCAAAGCAGAGTTTTACAATAACCAACTTCAAAAACCAAATTTTGCTGTGTAAGCTGGCATGGCACTTGCTATGCCCTCTGCATACCTGAACAAGTGCTGAAAGCATTTTGGGTGGGTGCCTCAAAAAAACACCAGAGTCATTGGCTGCCCCTCAAAAAAAAACCACCTTCAATTTGTAATTGAGGTCACAAGGATTATTTAAATACTCCCACTGATTCATAGGGATGGTGTAGAATGAGCCTCCGAACTTACCCATAAATTCTCTGAGTTAAGCAAATCCCAGTCCTAAAAAACTAAATATAAGAAATATACTCCTTATAAAGAGCAACATGAGTAGGTAGATGTAATTAGAAAGAAGCTTGGCTACCTCATGACACACCAATATTTTATTATTTGACAGTGAACCTAAACACATCTTTTTAGAAACTTCCAAATAACTTAAATTGTTTTCTTTTTATTAAGGAGCTTCATTATAACACTTGAAAATTCAGCTAGGGCCTCTAAACTACTTGACATTAAGGATAAAAAAGTCAGGTAATATAAAACTTAGTGGAAACCTCAAAAATGACTGTTATTTTAATATATATGGTATATAATTACACAATATTTACCTGTAATTTTATTTTTTCAATGACAACTAATTAAAATGAATATTGTTCTATTTGATTCCTAAAATCAGTTCTGAATGCTACACATTTTGAATAAGTACAAAATTAACAAGGAGGATTGGATGAAAGATTAAATGTATTCAGACAACACAGCCTTGGAATTAACACAAAGGAAGTACAATAACTAACCTACAGTGTTAGTGATTCAGTGTATAAGAACTGACACAAAACTGTTTTTCCCAAAATGCATGTGAAAGGTTAACTCCTCCACTTGCACCCTAGTATGTATAGAAGTCACACTCCTAACGAGTGTGCTTGGCTTTATTTAACCAAAATTTAGCTTATATTTAATTGACTCTTACTGTCTCTAAGATGCTCCAACTACAGCTGTGGTGAAGTATGCCTTTCGCCATCTGTTCATAGGTAGTAGTAACATGAGCCAGTTAGCACAAGTTAAACTAGGATGCAAATTCATAGCATGTGAATAACTCTGCAGTAACTGCTTGGGGAGACATTCTAATTTTGCAGTTTCTGAGATGTATCTACATTTTCTAGTATCCTGTTGAAAGAAAGCAAACACTAGAATTATGCTAAGTATTCTAGTATCTTCTAGTATCTAGTATCAGGGTCAAATACTGAAGAAGGAAGTAACTTATTCCTACATGCTTCTCCTGTTTATACATCCAATATTCATATAGTACCACGTTAGGTAGAAAGTTAGAACTGAGGATGTTCATGGTGTTCGAGCAGACTAGTATTACTATCATATCATTAGAAGTTATTTCCTTTAGGCTTTTAATCTGGAGGGTGGATAGCGTAAACTAAAAATGGCTAAGAACGTTATTGCACAGTAGGTAGAACACAAAATATAAAGATTACACCTGCATTCATTTAAGTTTTTCATGCTGCAGCTGACATTTTTATTTAATCCATTTTTTTCTGGGATAGAATATTGGTATTAGTAACTCGGAAATGTGATTTTTATATAATCACAAGATACACTCCCTGAAGCTTATGGTATTACTGTATTAAGCTCTGTAGCACTATCAACTGGTACTGAACTGCTTGTTCAGTTTAGGGGTTATTCTGGTAACTCTGTTACACACAAAATGAAGGTTTATAACCAGCATATATTATCCACAAAACAATAGCCAGGGAAAAGAAGATGGCATTGTACATTGAAGAAAGTGGCTGGCTGACAGAAAAGGACATTAGGAAAACAGAAGCAAGGTCCTGGGGACAACAAATAGAGAATTTACACTTGCAGCAGAATTCCCTTCGCCTGTGCCTAAATTCTGTCCTCGTTCCCATTTATAGAGCTCCATGCTGACCTTAGTCCCCTCAAAAGACACAGCCTCAACTCCAGATTCACCATGGCAGATGCTCTGCCAACAATATTTTGCATCAGGAATATAGTCTAGCCAACAGAGCTAGAATAAGAAAGCAATAAGATCCTCTAGTATCTTCCAGTGTACCCATATCTTACAATGCTCTAATTTTAAGAGTATTTATTTTTAGGCTCCAATATTCTAATGTATTGCTCCTCTCCCTAAAAATAAGGAACTTTTTTTTGTTTGGCTATTATTCTACCACGTCTGACTGACTATTTCATTAAGCAGTCAAAAGGTATTGTCTTCCAAAAAAGTCATCTGTGTAAGAACATCTTGATGAAAACATATGGACTAACTTCAGAGCTGGTATGAGAATCAGATAGTTTGTGCTCAGAACACCGCTCTGCGTTCCATTTTGCAAATTTTTTAAAACATACAGAAAGATCTGTTACTCCTTAGTGAATGTGAACAAACATCTACATGCAATCTTTCACTTTTGTTGTTATTGTTGTTAAAGAGGCAGAAGGTGTCCTTGGGAAGGAATCCAAGGTTTTCCAGGGTAAATATGTTTATCTTGCACAAAAACATCCTCAGTGTCACTCAGCAAAATCTGAGCCTTTATAAACTTGCCATATATTGTATTTCTCTGGGTCTTATCTGTACACACTTTCTTAAAATAAATATATTTAAGATATGTTGGAAATAAACATTACCCACAGCTTTACATTGCTCTTTATTCAGCATTAATTTATACCACAACAATGAAAATTTTTTTCAAACAGGTTTTTAATTCCTAAAATGAATGTAACCATTTGGTACACAACAATTCAAATTGATCTTGCTTCATTTACTTCATCTAGTCAATTCTGTTATTTCCAACATTATAAAAAAACAAAATTGAAACTTGGCCTGAAAAATATATGAGTAAAACTTGAAAACCTACCTTCACTAAAAAGCTTTGAAGAAGTATTAGTATTTGCACCGCATTTTATCCTGAATCTCTCAGTGCCTACCACATTGCTTCATGTGCTCCATTTGGTTTTCCATTTTCCTGCTAATAAAAATCTTTTCTCTGAACACAGACCTACTAGATACTCAGTACTGAAAACCAAAATACTTCAAAACAATGTATCAATCAGGGCAAATTTCTACGTAAGTAAAATTATTTTGCCTTGTGTATCTAGTTCAACAGAGCAGCAAGCATCTGGAGAACAGATGTTTCTTAAAAATGCAAGTGTGTTTTGAGATGCTTGCTTAGAAACATTCAGTATGATTTAGATTCCTTGACTAGTTGTATTTTAGTGTTGTTTTCCATTAATTTTTCTTTGTATTCTCAGTTACTATTTTTGTAAAATGTATTGGTGAAATTATCCTGTATTTTTAGATATAATTTCTAATACATACATAGTTTTAGAGGTTCTAGCTATATTGTGGTGTTACCCATGCTAATCTAAGGTACTAGAAAAGTGCAATCTACTATGATTTATATAGAAGGTTTATACCTGAGATTGCAATGGGCTGATGGATAAAAATGGGTTGGTACAGTGATACTATCCCAAGTTATTTTAAAAAGAAGTTAGGGACATTAAAGGGAAAGTTAAATCTAATCTCAAAGGTACTTGTTGGAAAATGAAATTTAGGAACTACTGGTCTAAAGATACACTGCAACAAAATTTTGGATAGAAAAGTTTTTTTGGTGGCCTGTTATATTTTACTGTAGAAAACTAGCAGAAAGGCCAAGATTTGTATCAACAGAGAAAGATTGGGAAGATCTGCCTGTGGAGACAACAGCATGAACACGCAGCAGAGAAAGGGCTCTTGTAATGGCCTGTGTTAACATCCAGATTAGTAGGTGAGGAAGACCCCAACACATCTAGGCCAGTTTCACAGGACAGGGACATGGGGAGTCAAAACAGTGACGGGACAGGGCACAGGAGGAGTACTAAAAGGGCACAAAAAGGCATAACCAGGACCTGTGCATAGTCACCAGCCTACGAAGAACACAGAAGATGTTAGAAGGACTTCACAGCTGGCATCCCTGGACCTCTGTACCATTGCAACAGATCCTGGGTCCAACATCTGGTCACAAGTGTCACGGTGTCTGGCTGCCAGATGGATGGCTTGAAAACCCCTGCCCTGGTGCCTGGCTGCTGGGCAGACTTCTTAGACACACACCTTTTGGCAAATGAGAGTGTGAGACTGTGAAAGCGTGAGTAAAACGAGCTTGTATTTCAGTTTCTGTTATAAATAAAATCACTTTCCTCTTCTATTAGGTCTCTCATTGTGTTGCAACAGTATTTCCTACACTACCAGGTCAGCAGATCAATTTTGAAACAGCAGACAAACTTTCAAGTTCAAAGTCCCTGTCAAAGAGCTTTTAAGTAGCATGCAAATTTTCACCTAAGAAGCTCAAACAATGAGAACAAGAACATCATATTCCCTCAGTTTTATGCATTGAAACATAAAGTATAGCTAGCTAAAAAGAATGCAGAAGACATTGTTGTCCATGACAAACGTGCTCATAAACTTAACATCTTTTCATGCATTTGCTCCTAACCATGAACTTTTTTCTAGTTCTTGAAGTCAAAATTAAGTACAGGAGGCATGAAACAAACAGTTGTAAAGATGTGTGGTTGTCAGCACCTCTATTTACTACAAGAACTCCATATTAGACAGTGCCTTGTTAACGCAATGCTTAATTTGGACTACCAATCATCTTAAAATCATTACAGAAATTTCATTTTGGTCTAGGATTTCAGAATTTATATTTAGGATTTCAGAATTAAAATATAATTCCTGTATTATTTATATAATAATCTGTATTAAAAAATTCTATATTTACATGTAATTATTTTCAGAATCATATTATTTCTATTTATTATATAAATAACATATTCAGAAGGCATCCTTAGAAAACTGACCGTTTTTAGACAGAGATCAAACAGATACTGGAATGCATACAATATTTTTGTGACTTCTGAGAGTATCTGCATTGTCTCATACATTCTTTTGAATATCTAAATCAACGTTCCAAATTTACAACCTTTTTCGCTCTGTTTACACACATATGAAATAGTAGGTTTAGGATTACAGTCCACGAAAAAAACCCACCAACACACCCACAAGAAGCATACGCAGCTACTTGTATTAAACTGGGCTGAAAAAAATACAGATGTAACACAGTGATTGGCTACTAATTTATTTTTTTTTAATGAGATAGAATCTTTGCAAAATTTAATTTCACTCCTGATGAGCAACATATTTGAACTTTCCATCAGATGTCACCAAAAGGGCGCTGTGCCTTCACTGTTTGCTATCCAATATTCAAGTGACCTTTTGAGTTATGATCATGAAATTTAATACACTCATTTCTCCTGATTACATGGGAAAAAACATGTGAAATTTGACATTTCAGTTGCAAGGTCAGCCAAAGATCAGCCTAACAGTCCACAAAAACTGACATTTTCCCTCCCTCTGGACAGAGGCCCTCCGGCTGGCACTACAGAAAATACTGGAGGTCACTAGCAATGCCAGTAAACATTGCATTCAGTTCCTCCACAAAGAGATACGATTCAAGTGCCAGGAGCCTGCAGGGGATGCACAGCTGTAGCTATCCTTCCCCATGTATAATTTCCCTGCCGAAGTAACCTGATCTGAGAAGATCAGTCCATGACAAAGAATATCTGGTTGAAACTGAATCTGAATTAGGCAGGAATTTTGCTGGTAACTGAAATAAAAGTCTGTGGTTTAGGAGTACCCCAGGACCTTGCTGATAAGTTTTCCCACAGTAACGCTGGCATGTAAAACATTTTACTGTCTCTGGCTGGACAGGAGTCTCCATTCCTTCCTGGCAGTTAATGGTCCCTGGTCTCAATTATACACATCCTTATCTTCTACCACTTGGAAGGGAGCCATACAGTACACCTGGGCACAAGGCCATGAGCTCTTTGCAAACTCCAGCAAGTACCGAGAACTACCCCATGGCTGCTCAGAAGCAGAGGCGGCACTAAGAAAGAAACCAAGTTCAGCAGTTTCAAAACTAGTAAACCTACTAAAAGTACAAGCAATTCTGAACTCCAGATATCCGGGTTTTTTGGCTTTTTGGGTTTGGCTTTTTTGTTCTTTTTTTTCTTTTTTTCCTACTTCAATGTCTATATAGGGCTAACCAGGGTCGAGCAGGTGGGTTCAACTCTGCTTGCTCTAACACTCCATTTCTCATCTCAGTCCCTAACACAAACACTCGCTGTTCACGCTTGTTTAGGAACTAACTCACAGTCTAGGATGCTCAGACACACAAAAATCAGTGCTTATTGCAAAGCACTCTGTAGAAAATTGCAGAAAATAGCTACATTTCTCCTGCAGGTTGTGGTAAGAACCCTGAGAAGGGAAAAAAAGGTTGTAACAGAATATAATATTGTCTGACTGCTATGAAAACAAAACAAAGACTATCAAAAGAAACAAAACACTAATTCTCAGATGAATGGCATGTAGCAAACAGAACTGCTAGTGCTTCTATTCTGCTTGAGTAGTATTAAACACTCCATCCTAAATGATTCTTATACAAATTAAAACTATGTAAATATAACTTCTAAGAACATAGACAACAGGATTTAGCCCCATCAGTGAATACATTATATGCAAGCACAGAACAGGTAGAAAGGAATTTAAGACAACATCACCATGCAATTTTTGCAAAACTAAGGTTTAGTCACAGAATTTTAAAATTCTGCAGAAACTCACATTTTAAGGACTCTGCAATACATTTTAGTAGAGTAAAAGAACATTAGAATAAAAGAAAAGCTTTGAAGGATGAAGGACTGACTGAATACAAGTCTTGACTGAAGATCTCACAAAGGGGCAACACCAGAGCTTCTTCTGATAGTTTGTTCCATAGGAAAAATCAGCTTTACTGTTACTGCCCATTTAATTTACTCTTCTACATTCTATTCTACTTACTCTGCTGAGCCCAGTGCACCAGTAATAAGCACACATTCAGATGTGCCCGGAGCCCCCAGTATCCAGCACGTGTGATACCACTTTTAATATTCTTTTCCAGAGGAAAAAATGTGTGAGATTTAACTCATTTTTCTTTTAATGCACAGAAGACTCTCTATGACCTGAACCAATGGGGTTTGGGATACCCCAGCTAATCCAGACAGCATGAGAGGTACACAAAGTCAGAGAGAGCCCAGTAAAAGTCATTAGCTTGGTCTCGGTGCCAACCCAGCTGGAGCTAAGCTACCTCTTTTGTCCAGCCACCTTAGCATGTCTGCACTGCAGTCCTGAGTGCTCCAGCTTGCATAAATCAGGAGCAACGTCATGACCTCTTAGGAACCAAGTCAGGTTTACTTTTGTACTGAACCTCACAGGCTGTCTGAGACACTGGACAGCATGATGTGGACCTATTCAAACGGTTACACTTAGAGCCAGCCTGACAGGTCCTGTACTGAGCTAACACACCATCAAAGTGGAATCCATCCTCAGTGAGTTTAATGTCTGCATAGATCTCCCAGATGTTCAATTACAGATGCATACTGCAGAGACGCCCAACTGGGCTCTGTAGAGAGCAGGGTTGGGTCCATAAAATTTACTAACTTGTACTCCATGCTGTGCAAAATCAGTTAATGTACTTCTGGATCACACAGCGTTCTTGAAAAAGTATTCCATGCTTGTGTATTGCTGTGTCCACACTGATAAATTCAACATACCAAGTTAGAGCCGTATAGAGTTTTTGCATCTGTGACTAGTATTAATTTGCAACTTGGATAATTGTCTCATGAACAGTAAAATGAACTGCGCATATACATTCCCTTTCTTTAGAGAAAGGAACATGTAATATTTGCTCCCAAGTTCCAGCTCTGTTCTCTGGGCTGATGAAATTCTTCTCATACCAGAACGCTGACTCCGTGATTTGACACGCAAGTTACCTGATAGTTTTCCAAACATCAAAGCCATCCAAAGGCTTAGTGCCATTGGTATGTCCTCCAGCAAGGTGCACCAGTGTTGGCAGCCAGTCAGAGATATGGATGAGTTCATGACTTTCTACACCTTTTTGTTTCAGTAAAGGACTTGCAACAAAGCCTACTCCTCTCACTCCTCCTTCCCAGAGGGTCCATTTTCTTCCTCTCAGTGGCCAGTTGTTCCCACCTGCCAAAGTCTGTCCTCCATTATCTAGAAAAGAAGTAATTAAAAAGTACTGTTGGTAAGAAAGAAACAGAACTATCCTCCCCACAACACTTTTGCATCCATTTGAAAAAACATTTTCACAATACAGGCATGTCACACAAGCACTTGCATAGTGCTGGTAAGTGTTCATATAATACGTTGCATATTCAGAGCATGTCACAACCATAAGTTAATTCTTGCCAGTCTTACAAATTACTACAATGAAAAGCTACTGCTAGGCAGAAATGATACCACACTATGAGTCAACGATTTAGAAAGACTTTGTTAAGAGCAACCTCTGACCTTGATTCTAAATATCATTAGACAGCCAAAGCTTCCAGAATCAAAGATTTTAAGAAGTCAGTCCAAATTACTTTACAGACCACAAAAAGAGTTGCTATCAATGCCATCATTAGTACTCAAGAATACACTGTTTTCCAAAGCAGTAAATTATACTCAAAAAAACCCCAAAAAACTATCATTCCAGTGCCAGGACAATACCCATAGTCCTAGTTCAGAACCAACTTTTTCCTAGATTTTTAGGCAGCCACAATGAGTTGTAATGTCACACAACACAACATTTCTGAAGCAGAAAATGAAAGCCCTAACAAAATGAGTTGAAACTAGTCCAAACAGTTGAAGCGATTCAGAAATGTAGGGAATTTATTGTGTTTGGTGAGAACAGTATATAAGATCGTTACAGAAAATGCTGAACTGTCACTACAGTAACTCAGAGTATCTACATGAATTAGAGATAGCTCACGCAACTCTTTTTTAACTCTCTCTGACCAAGCTTCCACACTTAGAATAAAATCTAGATTCCTGAATTTAACAGAATTACTGAATCTCTGAAGTTACTTTTAGTACTGCTGTACAATTGTTCTTGTTCAAACTTATCATAATGATCTCGGAAGAGTCATCGCTGGCTTTTTTTTTTTTGCATAATCTTTCTATATTTTAATGATGCTAAAATTATTTCAAATACTATTTATTGAACTGACATTCAGAGTAATTTGACATGTTTTTATTGTATTTTCCCATTAAAAACCAGGAATTTCAGGGAAGAAAGAAGTACATTCCTAACACCTTACAGAAGAACTTTACTGTCACCACACCACAACAAAATGATCTCCTTTCTGTTTCAGTAATTAGGGATCGGTGTAAGCATCCACTGTGAACATCCTTCTACTGTACACAGAAAATCCTTTCTGTTCTACTAAGGAACAAACCAGCGCATGTCTCTGTAAAGACTTTAAAAGGTGGAAGCCTCAGCAAAATGAATCAGTTGGAAAAAATAGCATGATTTGAAGAGAGTAAAGTGTTTTGTGGACCTTCCAGTAGGCCTGCTTGCACATCCAGCATTCTTGGGTTAAAAACAAATAAATTAAGAGCTATATTGCCTTCAGTATGGAATGCAGGCAACCAAACACTAGCTACCAATCTTTCTCACAAAACAATGTTGAGCAATGAGATCTGAGAATCTAAGCACTTGCCAGTTACCAGAAAAAAAAAAAAAAAAAAAAATTGTTTGAACAATTCCTTCTACTCTTCATGTAAACAGGAATTCCTGTCAGAGATACTCACGGGACAGAGCTTTCAGTAGCTTTTAACCTTTGGTGGCCTTAGAATAAAAGGTATTTTATCTACACTACATTAGAGCACAGTTTGGACATACAGTGGGATGAAGTCTTAAGTATGTTAAATACCTTCTTCATATCACAAGCTACTTAACTGTCCATATCAGTTTAATACTAGTACACGAGATTTTTTTTAGTAATTATACTTATTTTTCTTTTATTTTCTGTAGTTGAGTTGAAGACATTCATGTTGTGCCAGTTTCATTATACAATAAATACCCTGAGACAAGGAGTCTATCTAACTTACATTCTACAAAAACTTGTGTGTGATAGCTTTCAGACATAGTACACTAAGTTAAAAAAAGGAGAAAAAAAATTCTTGTTTTGATAGCTTGTCTGATATGTAAATGAATAAACACGACATATGAAACAAGCTTCGTCCCACTCATTTTGACTGCTCATTTTCACATTGCTACTGTTTCCTTCTCCCTCAGGAATTCACATTCAAGAGGCCCTTTCTGCTTCATTTCTAGACTGAGTTAATAAGAAAGTGTTGAAGGAGGGAAAAGGATGGCTTCTGGATCGATTACTGACATTTGTTTCCTTTCCAGGTAGGCAGAACAGAGCTAATGTGTCACTGGCAATTCATACACAAGTGATACCATTTTTAGAAGTTATAGATACCTACTTCCATAGTGTCTGAAATATTTCCAATGTCCAGATGGAGATCAGTGATGAGTGGTGTCCCTCAGGGGTCCGTACTGGGACTGGTGCTGTTTAATATCTTCAGCAACAACACAGACAGTGGGATCGAGTGACCCATCAGCAAATTTTCAGGTGACACCAAGCTGTGTGGCGTGGCTGATCTGCATGAGGGACAGGATGCCATCCAGAGGGACACAAGCAAGCTCGAGAAGTGGGCCTGTGTGAACCTCAGGAGGTTCAACAAGGCCAAGTGCAGGGCCAAGTGCAGGGCCAAGTGCACGGATCGGGGTAACCCTCAGTATCAATACAGACTGGGGGATGAAGAGACTGAGAGCAGCTCTGCCAAAGAGGACTTAGGGGTACTGGTGGATGAAAAGCTTGACATGAGCTGGTAACGTGTGCTCGCAGTCCAGAAAGCCAACCTTATCCTGGGCTGCATCATAAGCAGTGTGGCCAGCAGGGCGAGGGAGGGGATTCTGCCCCTCTGCTCCACTCTGGTGAGACCCCACCTGGAGTCCTGCATCCAGCTCTGGAGCCCTCAGCACAGGAAAGACATGGACCTGTTGGAGCGGGTCCAGAGGAGGGCCACCAAAATCATCAGAGGGCTGGAGCATCTCTCCTTATGGGGAAAGGCTAAGCCAGTTGGGGCTGTTCATCCTGGAGAAGAGAAGGCTGTGGGGAGACCTTCTTGCAGTATTTCAGCACTTAAAGGAGGCTTATAAGAAAGATGGGGACAGACTTTTTAGCAGGGCCTGTTGCGATAGGACATGGTGCAATGGTTTTAAGTGAAAAGAGGGTAGATTTCGACTACATGTAAGGAAGGAATTTTTTGCAATGAGGGTGGTGAAACATTGGAACAGGTTGCCCAGAGAGGTGGCAGATGCCCCATCCCTGTCAACATTTAAGGTCAAGCTGGACAGGGTTTGGAGCAATCTGATCTAGTGCAAGATGTCCCTGCTCATTGCAGGGGGATTGGAATAGATGACCTTGAAAGGTCCCTTCCAAAACAAACCATTCTATGATTCTGTGATTACACAGGACTTCAAACAGCAACAATTTGTTAAAGAGGAGCAAGTTACATAATAATGAACGATCATAATGGAGTCTGTATTGATGAAATATTAAGCTAACCACTAAATAACAAAGGTAGAGGGAGGGAATAAACAAGAAGATACTGATTGCATGAGGTATAGACGTGGCAGAAAGAAAAGCATGAACAACCACTACAGGACTGTAACTGCAATTCTAGTCAATCTTACCTATGCGTGTATATCTAGACAGCAGGAGACAAAATGAGTACCTGCTGTGTGTTTGATCAGGTACCCTTCCTCTAAGACACAACTGTGGATCTACATAACTGAGGCTAAAAGCTTGCATGGCTTCAGAAAGCTACTGGAGAAGTTAAAAGATGAAACAATAATAGATAGTTCTTACATGAAGAAACATCACCTCGGTTTTGAGAATTTCTTCAGCCACAATGAGCTGAAGATCTGAAAGTTTTCACAAAATTGTTGGTGAAACACACAATGAGTCTCAATGCTCTTTCTTAGACATGTGCTACCAGGCATTGCTGTAGCAAGGGCGGCTAGATGGATCATTCATCTGTGGAAGTACAGCCATTCTCATGTTCTCCCAAATAAGCTACCCCTTACTAACTTCTCATACTATTTTAGCAAAGTATCTCAAATATGGAACAAACTCCAAAGTCCATATGCAAACTCCCAGTAGTTTAAAACACATACTTAACAGCCAGTTAGGTAAGAGACAAGTAAGATCATTGTGGCTTCATGTTCTACAGTGGCTTCACATCCAATTCTAAATCTACTTCAAAACAATATTTCCTGAATGATTTATCATCTATTTTTGCAACTGTTTTTCTCCATGACTCCTCCTAATACCTAATCTTAGCAGACAGTCTCCAAAGCAAAGCTACAACTAAAGGCCCCGAATTATAACATTTCTTATTATTCAATCTTCAGCCTTGCTACTTCAGCTGAAAACACAAGCCTATCCCAAGCATGATACTTCAATTATCTCTTTCCTGGAAATGAATATCAAATATGATTTTCATTAAAAATAATAGTGAAATAGTCTGGAAAACATAGTGAGCATATTTTTGCTATCTGTAAGAATGATTTTTGTAATGACATCTGTATAATTTAGACTTCAGTAGTACCCACAACATATTAAGTGCATTAGAAAAATCCTAAAACAAACCAGCTCTTGTCCCTAAAGAAAGTATGAAAGGGGAGGGAATAAGGCTATAGTTAGAAATTACAGTACTTGGCATAAGCATTACCTAGCTAATTTATTCAGTTTTGTTTGTTTTCTTAAATGGAAGCATCATACTTTTCTGAAGAGCTTTGTTGTTTTCTGGGTTTGGTTTGCTTTGATAGGTGTTTAGGTACCTTTATTTTCTCACAGTATTTTTATCACTCCCATCATTCTGTGTTATTTTAAGGAGGGAGGTACTGACATGGTTTTTTTCCATTTTAACACTATTTTCTTTCAAAAGCTGAAATTTGTGACAATAAAAGACAATGCTGGGGAGACACATTCTTGCTGATACAACAATGGGCTAAAACAGAGTCCATAGCAAGCATTACCACCAACAACAAAAAAATACACAGAAGACATATGCAGGATAAATAGCAAAATGACAGAATAAAGGAGAGAAACAGAAGCATCCTAACTACTTTAAAATGTAGTTTTGATCAAAGTCGT